GGGGAGGAGGGAGGAGGAGGAGGGGGAGGAGAAGGGGGAGGAGGGAGGAGGAGGGGGAGGTGGGGGAGAGAGGGCCCTGGTTTGCCCGGTGCCTTGCTCCTACTTGGGCCTCTTGGGGTACCTGTCGTACTCATTGGATTGCCCTTACGGAGATCTACGTGATAGCCTTTTCTCCTCTCTCCATCACTCTCCATCACTCTCCTTAAATAAAAAATAGAATTCGAAGTTGTCCCTTTTCATGGTTGCATTATCGTGTCCCGCCTGAGGGAGGTTGGGATTCATAGGGCCTCTGCGATGATAGATGTACGGCGCATGTGCCCGTACAGGGATCCAGCGGCGACGCCGCCGCCAACGCAGCCGGAGCAGCGCCGCCGCCGCCATTGGCGCCCGCCAAACCACGTCACGGTATCGGTGCCGTACTGATCATGGCGGGCGAGGAAGCGGCACTGGCGCGGCGCGGCATCTCGCAGCGACCCGCGGGTCTTCGGCTGCGGGCGCTGGTGGAGAAGGAGGGACATCCTCTGGACCGGTTGCTCCAAATGGTTTCGGCGGGGCTTCCCGCCTCCGCTTTGGTTTCGGAGCTGGGGCCGCTGGGGCTGCGGCTGGGGAGCAACTCACCGGGAAACTTGAACCCCTTCAAGGTACGTTTGCTGTAACTGTACGACATGATACGACACTATACGATATTGTCGTAATCTTGGCCTTTAGTGATTCTTGACGTGCAGTGCTTTTTCAGGCGCCTGGATTGCAGCGTCCCCTTTTCGCCGGGGGCAAAGCAGCCTCCGGCCCTTACACGCTTCCTCATTGACACGAAACACACCCACCCCACCCTACACACACGGCCCTGCACCCCCCCAACCTCACAGTATGGGAAGCTGCATCAAAGCTTTCGACTCCAAGAGCAGTTGGCGGTTGTCTTGGTTATTTGAACGTGTCAGCAACTGAATCCAACTGAATCTGCTTCTTGCGACTTTGGTTAGTTGATTTCCTCCTTTCCCCCCAACCCCCAACTACCAAACAGTTGGAGGGCCCCGCCGGTATATTCAATCCCGAGGCCACGGGAGCGGCGGAGGCGCTCGGGGACGCGGGTGGCGGCAGTAGCGCCGGCGGCGGCAGCCAGGGCGGCGGCGGTAGTCCCGTACGGGAACGGAGCTCGGCGTCGGTACGGAGAGGGGACGGGAAGGGGGGGAGGGGGGAAAAGTAAAAGCGTGAGGGGGTTCGTGAGGGGGTTCGGAGCTGAGCCTTCTCTGTGTGTATATATATGCATTGCCTCGTGTGTGAGTATGTGTGTGTGTGTGTGTGTGTGTGTGTGAGTGTCGATATGCACGCGCACATGGCGAGCATATACGCGTGTACGTGTACGTGTACGTGTGTTGTTCTTGTGTGTGTGGATGTGTGTGCATGAGTATTGAGTATGATGCATTGACCCCGAGGCTCCGAAACCTAAAATGATAATCCCCCTCCTGCTCCCCTCCCCCCACGCATCCACGCATCCACGCACCCACATGTGTGTATTGCCCCTCATCCACTCTTGCCTGCTCCTTTCCCCCCCCCCCCATGTACTAACCGCCAGGGTGGCCGCAGCAGCACCAACAACGGCAGTGTGTCGCCCCTCAAGGCGGACGACGGACCGCCTGAGGTAGGAGCGTGTCGAGTGGTGTGTATGTATGTATGTATGTATGTATGTATGTATGTATGTATGTATGTATGTATGTATGTATGTATGTATGTATGTATGTATGTATGTATGTATGTATGTATGTATGTATGTATGTATGTATGTACCTCACCCTCCTCTAAGCACACACACACAAGGACAAACAAACAAGGACACACAACCAAACACCGTTTTTCCTCCCCAGGCCGGGGAGGAGGAGGAGGATCCCCTGGACTCGAAGGAGCGACCCGAGGGTATGGACGACTCGCTGTGGATTCGACTGCTGGAGTTCCGGCAGACGAGAGCGGATCTGGAGATGGTGGGTGCAACGCGGCGTGCAACCGCAAGAAGCGTTCATCTTAACTACCACCACAACCGCCACAACCACCGACCCCGTAACGCTAAATCCCAACCACCCAGAACTCACTTTGGCGCTCCGTGGGGGCGCTGTTGCGGATCTTAACTGGGGAGGGGGGTGGGGGGTCCAAAGGCGGAGCAGGAGGGATCGCGGCGGGGGAAGAGTGTGTATGTGTGGAAGGAAGAAGGGGGGAATAGAAGGGCGAGCGAATCCCAATCAACCGATCAGTGCGCAGCGCGTGCCGGTGTTCCACCTAGGAATGTCTTGTACGACAGTTGTACGACACGGCTTATTACACGCCGATGTTCCGAATGGAGCAATCCCTCTTTTGTCCTGCTCCCTACATGGTCATATGACAGGAGGCGGAGGAGGCCTGGCGGCGCGTATCGCTCCTAACCGCACAGTGGGATTGGATGGAGGCTGAGGACGCGGGCATGGAGGCGGCGGTGGAGGAGGCGGGAGCCCGTGCTGCGGCGCTGCGGGACGGGTCAACGCGCCTGTCTCTGGATATCAGCCTCACCTACCGACTGAAAAACGGCCAGGTGAGATGTGGGCTAGATGTGTGCGCGGCTTTAATGGGTTTTAGGGTTTTAAGATGGGTTTTAAGTAGAGCCGCGGAAAAGGGCAGTCTGGTCGCGGCCCTCCGCATTGTTGGGTCCTGGGCCAGACGCGTGTGTTTTGGAGGAAATCGCGAACGGGATGCTGTAGCTGCTATGCTGCTGCCACTGCTGCTACAGTTGCTATGCTGCTGTTGCTGCTTTTACATTGCTGCTGCGTTACTACTGCTGCTACTGCTACTGCTACTGCTACTGCTACTGCAACCCTCCCTGGAGGCGGAATGGCCGAGGGGCGGTCCCCCTCCCTCTCACCCTCTTTCCCTTTCTCCCCAACCTACACGTACTCAACTACATACCCAATTACCTACCCACCAACACACACGTACATACATACATACATACCTTCGCAGGTTGAGCTGCCCGAGCGGCCAGGTGACGTGGTAGGTGCGGGGGATGTGCTGGCGGATGCGCTCATCCTGCACCGGAACAGAGTGGAGGCGCTGAATGAGGAGGTGCTTTCCCGGGGGGATAACAAGGTGAGGGGAGGGAAATAGGGGGGAAGGGGGGAAGGCGGGGATGGAGGGGAGGAGAGGCAGGGGGGATGGAGGGGGTGAGAGGCAGTTGCCAAGGAGGCGGTTCGGGAAGTTTCCGTTCCTCCTCTTTTTCCCCTTATGGTTCCAAGGAGGGGGAGGGGGAGGAGGAGGAGAGGGGGGGAGGAGAGGGGGGGAGGAGGAGGAGGAAGGGGAGCAGGGAGGGGAGGGGGAGGGGCGACTGACTGGTTTCGCTCTTTTCCTTATACACATACCCACGGCCGGCCTAACGGGTGTTGGCCCCCGGGGCCCCCAACATCCTTTTGGACGCTTGATGATCACCACCATCATCATCGTCATCCTCATCCTCATCATCTTCAATTCCACACACCAGATTGAGGTTTTGGAGGAGCTCCGACTGACCCGCCGCAAGATCCACCTCTCCCAGTGGGAGACGGAGGCGGCGGAGCTGGCCGGGCGACACGCGGCGCAGCGGCTCACGGAACTGCAGCTGCTGCACGTCACCAAGGACCTGCAGGTTGGGGGCAGAGGGAGGGAGGGTACGTGTGTGCTTCTGTATGCATGTGTGTGCGACCGTTTGACAAGGCCAAAAGAGAGAGAGAGAGACGGAGAGAGAGGGGGGGAGAGAGAGGGGAGAGAGAGAGAGAGGGAGAGACCAGCCCACAGAGAGAGCCCACAGATGAGCGGGAAAGTGAGTTCATCACATCATTTCGACTCGACTCGATTCCCTCACAGGCCGCCCTCCGCGACCCCGCTTTAGTGGACCGCCTTCACGAGGAAGACCGCCTCCTGTCGGTGCGTCAGAACATCGCCAACCTGCACGTCCACAAGATTGAGCAGCGCCGCCGGCAGCTGGCGTCACTGCGCGCGCGGGTGTCACGGAGCGGTACCGAGCAAGGGGAGCTGTCGGTGGCGGAGGCGGCGGCGGAGGCGGCGTTCCAAGAGAGCACCCGCATGCACCTCATGATGAGCCACGCCAAGGCCGCGGAGGACGCCACGCACCGGCGCCACATGCGGGCCATCGTCACCAACGCCCAACTGCGGGCAATCGCGCAGCAGCAGGCCGCGGACCTGGAGCGGCTAGGTGAGCAGCTGCGGGTTTCACACGCCAGGAACTTCCCCGCTCTGAAGCCGCTATCGAGCTGGGCGCCGCCGGATTATCGGCCGCCTTCGGCGGCCGCGGCGGCGCTGGCGGCGGCGGCGGCAGCGGCTTCGCCGCCGCCGTCGCCGGGAAGCCGCGCGCCGAGCCGCGGCGGCGAAGCCGCCGCGGTGATGCCGCTGCCTGGTGCGCACCGTCGTGTGTCGAACGGCATGCAGCAGCAGCAGCAGCGTAACAGCAGCGGCGGCGGGCCGGGGAGCCGTCCCGCCAGCCGCGCCGGCACACCTCTCGGTGTGACACGAAGCGGCGGCGCCGGCGCGACGCTGACGCGCGCGTACGTACTGGCCAGCGGCGGTGGAGCTCTGGGCACCAGCGCCAGCACTGTTCTCAACGGCGGCGGCGGCGGCGGCGGCGCTGGCTTAGCGGGACGGCCGCCGTCAGGCGCTTACCGCCCCGCTAGCTCCGCGTCGCGGCGGCTGTAGCTGCTGTTACCCTTAAGAGTAGGTTGGCGGCCGTTTGTTGAGTGGTCGTTGGCTGTCGGCAGTTGGCTGTTGTTAATTTCGTTGGGTGCGGGTATAGGCGCCGGTTGGGTTGGGCGAGGTTCACAGCGTCGCAGCATGGCGCTCTCGTCACAGAGGCATTAGCGGTGATGCCGCAATGGCTGCGGTGGAGGCGGGGAAAAGGCTGGCGGTAGTAGTGCTTGCAGTGGTGGTTGGAAGTGTGGTGCTTAAAACATTTGAGTGTCGCGAGTAGGTATGTAGACATGTATGTATGTATGAATGTATGTATGTATGCGTTCATGTGTATATCGGGTTTTCGGGGGCAATCCTGAGTTCAGAGGTCACGAGGCGGAAAGGGATCTTCCCCTCCCCGCCGCTACTTGTGGACCTGTATGCTGTGCTGTGCTGTGCTGTGCTATGCTATGCTAGGATGCGCAGGTAGGGGGCTTCCTGCCCCGTGGGGGGCTACCGAGGTGTGGGTGTGGTGATAGCGTAGCGGATGGCGGAAGGGGTACCGCTCTGCCGCAATGTGTTGGAATTGAAAATGCAACGAATTCACGACCTGAACACGTGCGTGTGTATGTGTGTATCTGTGTGTGTATCTGTGTGTGTGTATGTGTGTGTGTGTATCTGTGTGTGTGTATGTGTGTGTATCTGTGTGTGTGTATGTGTGTGTATCTGTGTGTGTGTATGTGTGTGTATCTGTGTGTGTGTATGTGTGTGTATCTGTGTGTGTGTATGTGTGTGTATCTGTGTGTGTGTATGTGTGTGTATCTGTGTGTGTATGTGTGTGTATATGTGTGTATCTGTGTGTGTATGTGTGTGTATGTGTGTGTGGATATTGCGATGGGCATAAGCCGAGGCATTTGCTTTTGGCGCCACGCAAAGACATTTGTGAAAAATGTGGCCTTGGGGGATGAGGTGGTCCTTGGTGACACGCTGGAAGGTACGGTCCACGCGCGGTGATTCGGTAAGCAGGTAAGCAGCGGGGTCGTGTGGGGGTTTGGTTTGGAGACCTGGGTGCAGGGATGCGGCTGCGTGTGGCTGTGGTGGCGCGGGGTTCAGGGGTTCCAAAGCGGGGCCCGACGGCGTTCACGTTCTGTTATAAAAACTGCTGCGCAGGTCGGCTTTCATCATGGACCTAGACTGTGAACTGGAACTGATCCTCGACTGCTTCTTTTAGTTGCATGGCTTGTTGTTTGAGAATTATGAGACGTGGAACCGTGATCAAGGGTCAAGCTCGAATCTCTGAGGTGAATTAAGGACGGGCGTGTACTCTTGGCAGTTGAGCATGAGCTCTAAGCGTGTTGGGTAGTTATCCTGCCTCGTAACCAGTGTTGATGACATGTGCTCCACTTATTTTATTGGTTTTGTACTTCATTTTTGGGCCCAATAGCAGCTGGCACCCATGGTGGTCATGTTCGTAGCTCCTTGCGTGAAAGCAAATTTCCCATATTCCAAAGTATGATATCATAACGAGCCAGCAAACGCAGAAGTTGTGAGTCAGTAAAACATGCTCTTATCTTTAGTTTTGATTCAGCTCTTGCTGAGAAGCCGGAGGAATGGCAATGGGTCTGGAGCGTTGGGCATTTTTTTGCGATAGTGCATACATATTAGGTTACTCCGTTGCATATATTGTATTTATGACCATCTTTAAATATATAGTGGATTTGAAGCAAAAGGAGCAAGTATCAGATTGGAATGCAAAACTTTAGTGGTACCTAAACCGTTATGTTATCGCTGCCTTACCCAAATAGTGGGCTGTGTCCTTTAGCAACGTTAAGGCTCAGAGAAAGGTCGTAGGCAGCACCAAAGACCAGCCTTGCGTCAGTTAAACTCTCATCTCTTAGTTGCGACCACGCCAGGGCTGCGGCACAATGGACGCAACATTATACAGTCAAATTGCACCCGCTAACATTTCTGGTTTTTACCACAGCCGGGCAAACCGTGGTCTAGCCGTTCGAGCCACGATGGCCTGCTGGAAGCATAGTCAACGATGTCTTCCAACACCGCCTCCTGCCTCTAACACAGCATACATGTCTCGAGCTCCTTCTCGTCCGGCTTCAAGCTGTGCAGCAGCCTCCTTCATCTGGGTCACGCCAGCCGCGCACAGGACAGCCTTCTCCGCCCCCAGTCTCCCCACCAGCAATAACGCCCTGCACTCTTTCCCCCGGGATCGCCGCCTCTCCCCCGCGGCCGTGGGCTTGCCTGAGCTCCCCACCCGCTCCGCGCTGTCGCCAAAAAGCAGCAGCACCAGCACCAGCAACAAACGCTATGCCGTCGTCGCCCGTTCCGCCCCGGAGCCTCGTGCCGGCGGTTCCCGCCTAGCCCTCGACACGCTGCCCGCTACTCCAGCCGCCGCTGCTTCGCCGGGGCCTGGGGAGGACGCCTCTCCGTCGCCCTCTCCGTCGCCCTCCTCCACCCCGTCCTTTCCCAACCCCCCCGGAGGCATCCTGGACAACAACTCCATCGCCTCCATGGACTGGAACGACTGGATGATGAGCGAGTCCTCTGCGTCATCGTCATCCTCAGACGGGGGAGAGGGAGCGACGACGCTGCTGGGTGGCGGCAACGACGGTGACGGCAGCGGCAGCGGCGACGGTGGCCCGGCGGCCGCCGCCACCGCTGCAGCAGAAGCTCTGGCGACATCGAGCCCAACTTCACCTCATGGCGGCCTGGATACCGGCGTGGCGATCACCATTCGGATCGCGTTCTACGCCGTCGCGGCGGCCTTCGACAGGCGGCAGCTGGAGACACGGCTACGGGCGGTGTACGGCAGCCAGGCCGTACGGAAGTACCCGGACGTGATCCACTGCCAGCTGGGCCGGGGGCGCGAGGATCAACCAGGTGAGTGTTTTGCGCTCCTCTTGCTATGTAGGCGCGTCACTTTCGTCGTCTCTCTGGTCGTACTTTTCGTACTTTTCGCTTCCCTACCTCCTGCATACCTGCTCTTTGCCGTAACCCAGCCTAAGTGCCACCATAGACGCTTGCGCGGTACTGTTCGCCTCCTTACCTGCAAGATTCGGACTTTGTATTTCTGTTCGAATACACTGATTCCAGGTACGGATGTGTTCTTCTTCGACTACGGCGTCGTGGCGTGCTGGGGCCTCTCGCCCGAAGTGGAGCGGGACCTAGTACAGAACGTTGCCGTACAGTGTGCCGTACAACCGCTGAGTGAGCGGGACCAGGAGCGCGACGTATTCCGGTGCACCTTCGCAACCAATCCGTCAAACGGAGTCCACCAGCAAACGGAGGTCAAACACGGGAAAGGGGGCGGCACCGCCGTCACCGCCGCCGCCGCCGCCGCTGATGCCGCCGCCGCCACCCAGCTCGCGGAGGAGCTCAAAGCAGCCGCCGCGGCCGCTTCGCCAGCGTCGTCGTCGGCGGCGGCGACGCCAGCTGGCACTGATGCGCTGGGTTCCGTGCTCGATGTGGATTTCGGTAGCAGTACGACAAACGTTACGACAAGCAATCGGCGTTATACTCGGAGGGCGGAGCGCAGCGGTGGTGCGACCGCCGCCGTCGGCGGCGCCATTGCTGTCGTACCGCCACAGCCGTCAGTGGAGCCCCAGACCCAGGTGGCGCCGGCGGCCGTACTGGGGCCGTACTCCGTACTTTCATTCCCGCCAAAAGTACGTACGTGCACACATTCACACAGCAAACTGGTATCACTGAGGCCGGACGTACGGTACGGCTAAAATTCACGCCGGTGTTTCATGCGTAAATCGTCCCCCGCACCTTTTCCCCCTTCCGTCTTCCTCTCCCCCCTCGGCTCCTCTCATCCGCTCCCTGGCAGATTGCCGATGACACGGTCTTGCTTCATGTACGGCACTGTGGCGACATCGCCACGCTGCTGGCGGTCAGTTACGCCCTGGCGCAGTCCACCAAGTTGTCGGCCTTCGAAAAGGTGTGCTGAGGGGCCACTGCCGGAGGAGAGGGGAAGAGCTTGGGGGCAATGCTTGGCATGCGGGTTTTGGGTCGTACGGCAGTCCCCGACTGTGCTTCTATCGACACACACACGAACACACACGCACTCACGCTGTGCACATGTACGACATTCGCAGAGCCCTGTCCGCAAACCCGGAGTTGTTGTCTACCCGAATTCCCAATGCCCTAAAACTCCCCACCTTCCCATCTCCATTCCAGGGTCTGGACCGTGTGTTTTGCCACGCCCGCCCCCCTCACCCTCATCACCTCACCCCCCTCACCCCCCTCACCCCCGCGCTTCGTTCCTATGATTCACTTCCCACCACCTCCCTTGGGGCCATGCATCCCAGTCCCACACCCCCGCCATTCTGGGTTTGTGTATGTACGGGACCAACCCCCCTTCCCCCCACCCCCTTCCCCCTTTTCCCCCCTCCCTCCCCACCCACCCCCAGGCCGTGGAGGCGATGGTGAAGGAGACCCAAGGCCTTCCCGAGGCGCTGGCGGAGCACGGGGAGGTTCACTTGTCCGGGAAGGAGATCGGCAGACTCATCGGGAAGGTGCTGCGGGTCGGGGCGGGGAGGCTGGGTGCCTAACTACTCTTGCTCGGAATTTAGTTGGAGGAGTTGGTGGTTAGTGGTTGGATGGGAAGGGGAGGAGAATGGGGAGGCCGGCGCATGAGGAAGGTTGGCTGGCTGGCTGGCTGACGTACTGTTTGGGGACTTGACAGACGTGATGGTGAGTGGTAAGTGTTGTCCAGCTTCCAAAGTCCCTCTTAATAAAGGCCTTTTACCCCTCGGTATGTGGTTTGTTCTCATATTGTACAGTGTGTGTGTATGTGTGTGTAATCCTTCTCCTCCCCCCCCCCCAATCCCCCCGCGTTCCGAAACCCTGTCCACCCCCTTTTCCGGCCCAC